TGTTTTGACTGGTGATATGGAGCTTTTTCATTGTCTCTTTCTGCAGATATAGTCAATTTGATTTCTATGTATTCCATCTGGTGAGGTCCATGTGTATAGTTGTCTCTTATGCTGTCTAAAGAAGGTATTTGAAATGAACTAATTATTGGTTGTGCAGAATTCTATCCTGTGTTCTCCAGCATCATTTCTTTCACCAAGACCGTATTTTCCAACTATGGATCCTTCCTCTTTGCTCCCAACTTTTGCATTCCAATCTCCAGTAATGATCAATACATCTTGATTGCATATTTGATCAATTTCAGATTGAATATGTTGGTAGAATTCTTTTATTTCTTCCTCACTGGCTTTAGTGGTTGGTGCATAAATGTGAATAATAGTGGTATTAACTGGGCTTCCCTGTAGGCATATGGATATTATCCTATCACAGACAGCATTGTACCTCCTAACTGATCTGGATATGTTCTTTTTCACAATGAATGCAACACCATTCATCTTTAATCTGTCATCCCCAGCCTAGTAAACCATGTGGTCATCAGATACAAAATGGCCAATACCAGTCCATTTCAGCTCATTAATGCCTAAGATATCAATGTTTATGTGTTCCATTTCATTTTTGACAACTTCCACTTTTCTCAAATTCATACTTCATACATTGCATGTTCCAATTTTCAATGGATGTTTACAGCTTTTTCTCTTCATTTTGAGTAGTGCCCATCAGCTAATGAAGGTCCCATGGGCTTTTCTCCCACGGGCTCTACTCCATTTTGGTTATCATGGCCAACTCTACTTTGAGGAGGCAGCTCTTCCCCAGTCACATTTTGAGTGCCTTCCAACCTGAGGGGCTCATTTTCCAGCACTATATCTGACAGTGTTTCTCTGCTATTCATAAGGTTTTCAGTGACTAAATATTCAGAAGTAGTTCGTCACTCTTTCTTCTTAGTCTGTCTTTTTCTGGAAGCTCATCTGAAACCTGTCCACCATGGTTGACCCTGCTGTTATTTTAAATACTGGTGGCATAGCTTTTAGAATCACAGCAACTCACAAGCCACCACAGTACAACAAACTGACAGACAAGTGGTGGCTGTTTTGTTTTAAGTGGAAACTGTAACTTTAAATTTCGAGTGGATCTGTGTGCATGCATTGTAGAAACCTCCAGTGGTGGGGGTGGGGTATCCATTTGCTCAGGGATCTTCTCTAGTCACCAGAATGGATATGAGCAGACAGCAAGAGATCAATGAACATCTACCAAAAAAGAATGCCCACACCTGTATCTCCACGGTTCTGTCAGGCTTCCGTGGCTGTTCTGATTCTTTTTCTGCTTGGTATCTCCCAAGATGGCCGTTCCCAGAGCAGCTGAGCGTCTTGAATTAGAAAGCAATGGATTTCTTGATTCTGCTACAAATTTTCCTAGCTGTAAGCCTTCTAAGCTTCTCAATATTCTTTTATATATGTGGTTCAGAGTTCCCCCTGGGCCTGCTTGGCCCGGTATTCTGTGTTGTCATTATAAAATGTATAATGATATTTTATTGTGAATGAAACTTTTCTTAATGTTTACCCAAATATCAAAAAGCATTTTTTTTTTGTATCATGAGGCATTAATTTAAATATCATATGGAAAATATTAAAAAGTGAGCTCTATTTAAATAAAGAGAAATAAATATTTTACTAAAACACTGATACTCATGAATCAGGTCAGCAATTCAAAACTACCATCAATTTCCCAGGAGAAAAATGAGGCTTTCTGCTCTCATAAAGATTTACAGCCACAGAAACCCTATACAGGGTCACTATGAGTTGAAACCGACTCACACAACCACCACTGCCACTCCTGCAACAATGTGTTAAATATGATTTAGACTCCAGAGAAGATAAAATGCATTTCCTTTGAGTTGATTTCGACTCATGATAACCCGATAGTACGGAGTAGAACTCCTCCACAGGTGTACCATGGCTGTACGTTTTTTATGAATTCAGACTATCATACCTTTCCTTTGCAGAACAACCTGTCTGTAAAGCTCCATTTAATCATATGAAGATAAACAGGTGTTTGTTGAAGTAACCTGTGTTTCGTGGGTACTGTGTTTTGTGTGTTCCATGTGTTTTATACTCACAAGGCTTGTAATGGAAACAGAAAAGACAAGAATTTGAAGATATCTGTTTTTGTTTTTTCTCATTGTTGCCATTGTTGTTGTCTTGACTTTTCTCATTCTCTTAAAAAATCTCAATGAGACGCACATGCCTACTATAAATGGAATGTTTTTGAAGCCTAATTCAGTTGTTTTAGACACATTAACCATCATGTTGACATTAGAATTGTGTAGTAATGACACTGAGATTATTTGGATAAAATCATATTTCCATTTTCACTTTCAGATTCACACTTTTATACCATAACTAATTAAATTCTCTTTAAAACTACTTATCTTTGTTGATATATTGTACACGTCAATTCCTATTCATTTAGAAATATAAGAGCTATTATAGAAAAAGATTTGGAACTAAACTTAATACATGCCCATTTTTAAAAAAATACAAGTACTTCTCTATAATAAAAGTTTGAGCAAAATTATTAGCTTTTCATATTATTTTTAAAAAGTATCCTAAGGGACCCTGAAGCCCATGCTAGACTGGAGATTCCTCGGAATGGAGGGAGAAGTGAAGGTACAGAGTGCTGGGAGTCAAGAACATTTTCATTCAGGTCACCTGCAAGGGTAGCTGGTAGATGACAAAAAAGCACTGAGCAGTTTTCAGAGACTGGGGTGAGCCGAGACCTGTGGCCACATGAACACAGAAGAGACCTGGCCCACAAAAAGGCCCATCTGTCTGTCCTTCTCCAGGGAAGTACTTCTGAGTGGAAAAGAAGATACAAGGAAAATTCCAGTCCCATCTAGCAGATAAACACCAATGAAAGAGAACTGGATGAAGATGTTTACTTCTGTTGTAGAACATTTTGAACTTTAGAAATGGTTTAGCTTAAAACTGAAGAATGTAGAAATCAGAACTTGTAAGGAAACCAAAGACGTTAGTGATCAACTAAAGCAGCTAATTTGGTAAATACCTTTATTCTGGGATTTCAGGTATAAGACAGGCTTACTCTTGTCAGGTTGGATGACCTCTTCCTAAAGTCTTTAGAAATTACAGATGTTATGCCCTTAAAGGGAGATCACTTCTAGAAAGCCATAAGACCAATTGCTGGTTGTTGTTGTTAGGTGTCATTGAGTTGGAACTGACTCATAATGACCCTGTGCACAAAAATATGAAACACTGCCTGATCTTGGACCAACCTCAGAGCTGTTGCCATGCTTGAGTCCATTGATGCTGCCATTTTTCCAATCCATCTCGCTGAGGGTCTTCCTCTTTTACTCTGACCCTCCACCTTACCAAAACTGATATCCTTCTCCAGGGACTGGTCCCTCCTGATAATATGACCAAAGTATGAGAGATGAAGTTTGGCCATTCAGGCCTCCAAATAACACTCTGGCTGTACTTCTTCCAACACAGATCTCTCAGTTCTTTGGAAGCCATGGCACTTTCAATATTCTCCTCCCACACCATAACTCAAATGCATCAATTCTTCTTCAGTCTTCCTTATTCACCATCCAGCTTTCGCATGCATATGAAGTGATTGAAAATTCTATGGCTTGGGTCAGGTGCACCTTAGTCCTCAAGCTGACATCTTTGCTCTTCAACACTTCAAAAAGAGGCCTTGTGCAGCAGATTTGCCTAATGCAATATGTCATTTGATTTCTTGACTGCTGCTTCTATGAGTGTTGATAGTTGATCCAAGAAGAACGGAGTCCTTGACAACTTCAATCTTTTCTCCATTGATAAGAATGTTGTTTGTGGTCCAGTGATGAGGATTTTTGTTTCCTCTACATTGATCTTCAATCCATACTGAAGGCTGTGCTCTTTGATCTTCATCACTAAATGTTTTAAGTCCTCTTCACTTTCAGAAAGTAAGGTTGTATCATCTGCATAGCGCAGGTTGTTAATGAGTATCCTGATGCCACATTTTTCTTCATAGAACTCAGCTTCTCATATTATTTGCTCAGCATACAGGTTGAATAAGTATGGTGAAAGAAAACAACCCTGTTGCACACCTTTCTTGATTTTAAACCATTCAGTGTTCCTGTGTTCTATTCAAACAACTGCCTCTTGGTCCATATACAGATTCCTCATGATCACAATTAAGTGTTCCGGAATACTCATACTTCGCAATGTTGTTCATAGCTTGTCATGATGCACACAATCAAAAGCCTTTGTATAGTCAATAAAGCACAGGTAAACATCTTTCTGGTAAAGATGTAAAAAATCGCTGGTAAAGGAGTAAAAAATAAGTTCACAATAGAGAATGTGAAAAAGACATGGATAGTTCTGGCTGATATGGAAGTTCACATTCTTGGCTCTTTCCAAAACATCAAGATAGCAAGAACTATCATTTGCAATACCATTCTGTGAAATACGCCAGCAAACGTTTAAGGAAATATCCATACTGTGGCTTGCAGAGAGTTAGATCCATTCTGATTTCAAATTAGAGACTCTTTATCTTTTAAATTCAAAGATTTGAATTTGAGCAAGAAAATGTGTACACTTTATAAATGGTCACAAGAAACCATGTGTACACATCTTAAGTCACTTCTGTCATTCTCAGCCAGAAGCAGAAACAGAAAAGAAAAGTGTGATCATGTTCAGAGTCATTTAATATAAGTTTTCAGGATAATTTAAATATCAGAAGTTCATGCCATTCTTATACTTAACACATTGAATATAATATGTATTTTCCTTCTAAATCTGATGAAGCAGATTTTTATTGTTTATAATTTATTCATGAAAGGGAAACTTCTTGCTTAAACAACTCTTCTGTATGACTTAACTTATAACTTTCTATAAATTAAAAAATTAATATTAATATATTAAAAAGTTCCACTCCTAAAATAGAAATTGTCAATCTTGCTATCTTGAGCAATGTGGTTACCATTGATTCTTTCTTGTCTCCTCAGATAAATTTGCAAAGAAAGATGCGAGTTACTGGTGTAATTACCCAAGGAGCCAAGAGGATTGGAAGTCCAGAATATATAAAATCCTACAAAATTGCCTACAGTAATGATGGAAAGACTTGGGCAATGTACAAAGTGAAAGGCACAAATGAAGACATGGTAGGCCTGACTTAACCTACTTAATTTAAAATTAAAATCTCATTGTTAATAATTGATTACCAAATGACTACTGTGGCTTCCTGGTGTGATGTTGTGGGTTAATGTGCTGGAATGCAAAGTCCCTTTAAACTGCAAGGTCCATGGTTCAACTTCACCAGCTGCTCCTTGGAAACCCTGTACAGGGTCACTATGGGTTGGAACCGACTCAACAGCACTTAACTACAACATCAACAAATGTGTTTCACCAGAAAACTTATGGAAAATAATTTGTGTTTTATTGTTTTGTTTCATTTAATTAGGTAAATGGTTAAAAGACTTAAGGAATTCTTCTGATATATCATTTGTGATGGCTGCCACTTATTAGTTTCCAAGATTTTAGTTGCTAATAAGGAGCTCTGGTAGCATAGTGGTTACGAATTGGGCTGCTAACCTCAAGGTCGGCAGTTTGAAATTACCAGCAGTTCCACGGGAGAAAGATGAGGTGTTCTGCTCCCATAAAGATTTACAGCCTTGGAAACCCTGTGCAGGGTCACTATGAGTCGGAACTGACTCCGTGGTACTTAACAACAACAACAATTATATAAAACCTTGGTTACAAGGTTAACATGGTCCTGTGTATGACCATTGATTTTTATTTTCATAATATTCAGCTTTTATTTTTTTATTTTTTCATAATATTATTTCAGATATTTTTTCATATAATATTATTTATTTCATATATTTATTTCATATAATATTTATTTATTTCATATAATATTTATTATTTCACATAATGTGTTGTTGTTAAGTGCCGTCGAGTCGGTTCCGACCCATAGCGACCCTGTACAGGGTTTCCGAGGGTGTAAATCTTTACGGGAGTAGAAAGC